TATTCTCTCAAAATCAGCCTTTTCTGAAAACACTTAGCAGACAATAAATGGTTATTGGCAATATTAAGTCCTGAACATTGTTTATCAGCAGCGGTGCTGCAGGACACAAGAGCAACAAGGTTTCAAATTCCATGGCAAGGACATGGGCTATGTTTCTCATGCCAACCCCAGGTTCATATGGAGAACACACATGGGCCCAAATTCCACTCAAGGCAGGGCTGCACGAGGCTGCCCTCTGCTCCCCCGTGGCATGGCAGCTGCTAGATCCCAGGGTGCCTTCCTTTGCGATCACTTTCCAAAGGAGCTTGCCCAACTTCATTGTTTCCTCCATGTCCTTTTTTGAAGGATAGGATTAGAATCATCAAATTGTTGCAGAATGACCAATTTTTGGAAAAAGAAAGGTCTTGAGCTTTTGCTTGTAATTTGGAAGAAAACATCATTCCCAAGGCTGAAATCCCACACAGTATGGGGCAAATTTATGTCAAATGTAAACCTACATACTGTTGTAGAGGTGTTCATGTTGTGTTTTGTGCATGACTTTTTAGATTCTAGACTAGCCTCATCTCAGTGGAAGGGACCTACAATGACCACCTGCCTGACCACTTCAGGGCTGACTAAACGTTAAAGCATGTTATTAAGGGTGTGGGGCATTGGTCACCTCTATAGGGTTCCAGTGTTTTACCACCCTCTTAGTAAAGAAATCATTCCTGTATGTCAAGTCTGAACCTCACCTAATGCAGCTTTGGATAGGAGACATTCATTCACAGGTGAGTATACGTCTCTTCCACCAAAACCTCATCATATTTCTTCTCCCAGATTATTTCAGGCTGATCTATTTCATATACATTTTTGTGTGTGTGCTTTTAGTCATACATATGATGTTCTTCAGGTACATCCTGAATTTCAAAGGGCCTTCTCAGGTGTGTGAATACTGGCTTTGTCCAAACATGATGGTTTATGGGACTGGCATCCTTTGGAAGTTTTGTGCTGTCACTTCAGAAATAGAACAGACTTCTGCAAAAAGTCCTCTCAGACTTCTTTTGCTAACCCAGAGAACTCACTGAAGTTCGTAAATAAAGTCGTTTCTAGAAATCTTTGCGTAAGTCTACATTTGCATCACATGTGCTATTTCTGACTTTGGTTTATGAAAGAGAAGCATGGTCTAAAAGTCTTGATTTGGCATCCTAATGTAATTTAAAAGAGCTGATAATGTTTTATTTCAAATAAAATGCAAATATGGTCAGACATAAATATAGAAGATGTGCATATATATACATACACACACTATATATCTTCTTTTGTTATTAAGGCTATTAGGCAGGCTTATTAATGTTGATAAAGATTCAGTCGTTCTGTATAGTCACTCCTACACCCTTCTACAATGCCTAAATGAAAAAAGTCTGATTTCAATTACAAGAAAACCCCCCAAAGGCAGGAAGAAGTTATCCTGTTTACTGTAGGTCCTTGTAGGCTGGTTGGATTTCAGTGCCAAATTACTTTTTTCTATAGCTAACATGGAAATATATTTTTTTTTTGGCAATGTGTTGAGTGAAACTTTGGCTTTGCATGGGGAATTAACTGTGCAAACTCAGTTGCCATAAGTGTTCATCTCAGCTGCTCTTCTCTCTGCAAGACAGCAGACTGCTCTGTGTTTGACACTAGCACCATGTGGATGGAAGAACTGAACTCACTTCTAAGCCTATTTTAACAAAGAAACAACGTAGACTAAATCTATACTGGCAAATTAAACATGACCAGGAATGCTGTCAAGCACTGATGCCAGAAGACACAGACCAGTCCGTGTCTGAACTGGTAACCTGGCTCACCATCTAAAACAAGGTGGCTTTGTGCAAGGCAGCTTTTGGGAATGGTCCCTGCAATGTTCTAACTACCAAATCATGCCCCAGAGTTATTTAGGGATAGTGCTAGCAACAATACCAGGAAGCATCTCTATAGTTTACCAACCTAAATGACTGTGTTGCAGGGCCTGGCAATGCTTAAGGGCTTTGTCATAATATTGTACCTTCTGACCAGTACATGGCTTAAATCTTCAGCTGATGGGCAGTATATGGAGAATTTAAGTCAATTTTCCAAAGCCAACACAAGAATACCATCACATCAGAAAATCTATATATGGCTAGACAGTGAGTTTTGCTCATACATCTGAAAAGCTGAAACCCAGAGAGTTCATACAGTTTATGTGAAAGACAAGTTGTTGTTAGTACATATCTTCATGATCTGCACTGAGGATGATAAGCTTTCAGTGTTCTCACTGCAGCATGAATACTTGGCATTACTTGGAGCCCCCTTACGAAACAACACATTTTTCCTGACCTCTGCAAAAAGTTGCTAGCCTGTGTTAGCCACTTCCTTACAGCCATTATATCCCCAGAAACTCATCTCCATGATGTGTTTGTTGAATGAGTACAAAAGAGACCCTAAAAATTAAGGGAATGTGTTTCTTATTCACTCCTCTATCATACTGCTGCATACTCATAAACCAAGAGGTCAAAAAAAAAAGAAAAAAGACTAATTTGGGTGTACATATGTCTAAGAAAGAAGAATGTAGTGCAGATGGCAGCACATACTCTCTTCAGCCCTGCAGGGAGTAAGCGACTGAAGGGAAGCTAGCGTGGGCAGAGGAACAAATGCATCCAAACTTGCCTTTATTGCATTTGGGCAGGAAACAGTCTACTTCTGCTCTATCAAAACAGTAAGGTCCAAAGACAGTTTTCAGAATGAGTACCGGGAGAACTTCCTTCCAACCCTGAATAGTTTATAAGTAAAGTTTATTATTATTCCCAAATGCTATTATTTGAAATGGTAGGAAGAGAACATGTACTAAGCAGTCTGTGGACCTCCAGTCCTGTTCCTATTGGCAAGCCAGAGATGATGCACTTAAAAATCTGTCCCTGAACTGCTTTCTGGATTGCTTTGGCACCAAGACAATTCAACTGGGAAAGTCAAGATTTTTACTGAATAGCTTTATAGCAAGCTGCTGGAATCACTTAGCAGTCAAAAAGCTTGCTTCAGTTATCAGACTCTATAGTTTAATGGGCATCATCAGAAAAGCAAAGCAGAAATTAAACAAAAGCAAAATAGGATGCCCTGACCAGAAATTCAACTCTGCCCTGTAACAGTTTGGTATTATATATACAGCTAACTTCTGCAGTTAAACTGCATTCCACATTTTACCTCTAACTCATATGTCAACACAATTTACTAAGCATTAAATGTAGGAACACTTCTCACTTCTGCGTGGGTCTGTGAAAGTAAAGTGAAGTTTGCAAGGGAAAAAATCTGCCTCTTGTTCTCTAAACTTTATTACTTTTACAGATATTTTTTTTTTTTTTTGTGCTGTGTAAGATTTTTGTACTTCTAAAGTAATCACTTGATAAAAAAGACCCCAATACCATTTGCTTTCTAAAACCATGCATTTCTAACTATAAGGTCACATCACGCTATATGGAAGCAACTCCTAGTAACATCAATTCATGCAAATTGCATGCAGAAAAAATCAGAAAGCATTAGCTCCCCCTTGCCTGCGCTCCACACAGCTTGACATTTGTCAATGTTGGTTTTTTTTTTGACTGAGAACTTCTTCTCTTAGGCAGTGTTGGAAGAGTTTCAGCTTTGTCCTCCACTGTGCCCACACAACGCCTCTTTGGAGGTGCATGGAGGAAAGAGGAAGGAGCTCTTTGAGGGGCAGAGAGGCTGATCCATCTGGGATGGATTCTATAGCCTGACACTAGCTAAATCAAGTGTCCAGTGACCCTTTTGGGAAGCAGCCTTTCAGGTAGTTGTTTCTGAAAGGTTTTAGAGACTCTTGTTTTCATTTCAATGACAAAAGTGTTTGTGGTATTTTTATGACCTTGGTTTCTGATCACTGGCTGACACCTCAGATGTTCTTGGCTTCCACCTAAGCTGGCTACCTGAGTGATGAGTCACAACCTACTTTCACCTGAGGGCAGCATTCAAAAAAAGTCCCTTGTGTGTTGGTGGTTTGATTTTTATTCATTCTCAGATATCACAGTGAGAAAGGAGTTCTCACTGAGTTATACCACAGAAAGTCACTGTAATCCTCTACAAGCTGAACACTGTGCCTTGTGGGTGTTAAAGAAGATTAGTACTCACTATGAGGGACAGTGAGACAGGGAAGAGGTTTATTTCCTAAAGACTTTTTGTATGGTTTTGTTTTGTTGTTTTTTTTTTTTCCTCTTGACACACTTAAAGTTAGTTCAAACCGTTTGTGAGAGGCTGCTTTCCTTGAGACATCATATTTATGGCCCAGCTCACAGGCAGTTAGTTTGCCTGCTGTTTCATAGTTAAATACTCATGTTTCACAACGTTTTAACTCATAGAGCTTGAAATGACTGGTAATTTGTCTTCAACAGTATTTCAGTCAAGTTCCCCTCTCTGGACAATCCAGATCTGCAGCCAAGAGAAAAGCACAGAAGTGCCCCCCTCAAATAGTGGTAGCAATTTTCTGTGATAAAGCTCTGTAATGAGATTCAGTGCACAGTCAAATCTGTCTTTGCTTTGCTCTGTAGGAAGTGTTTGTGACTTGGTAATCTGTTTGATTGGTGATCCTTAACTGAAATGAAACAGACCATGCAATCCCCAAGCTTGCTGTTTTTATTTCCTTGTCCTCTCAATTTTGCATTGGGAGAACACGACTTTGCCACTGCAAGAGCTCATGACGTGTGTCGTGTGCTGCCCTGACAGATACATCTGTAATAAATGTGTGTCTAATCTTCGTAACAACAGCTGAGTACAATTTATCCTGTATCATGAGGGATTTGTCACCCTTTTGGATCCCTGGCCAGCAGGGGTCTGTGAATGATGAATCGCAGTGGCTGTCTATGCCCGATTCAGACAAACACATTGACACACACCCTTGTTTTCTGAGAAAAGCAGATTTTTATAGGACACAGAATCATATTACCTTGCTGTATCCTTCAGTCTTGTGATAGAAATAATCCAGCACCCTTTTGCTAAAGGGTTCAGATTCAAAGTGCAGCGCAGATACTCCCGCTGCATGTTTTACTGCCCCAGGCTTGGGAAACTGGTGCAAGAATGAAACCGCAGAGTGCTTCTGCATTTGTGTTGTGGCTTCTGGCTGCTTAGCCCTGTTCAGATGGATCCAAGCTGAAGGTATGAGCAACTGTGCTCATCTGTAAGTTTCATCTTTGCTGGTATTTCTCCTCTTCTCCCCATTATCAGAAAAAAGAGGGCTTGATCTTTGATTAGGTATCTTAATTGTCTTCGTATTTCCTGTCCAGGTGAGGCTGGTCTTGAATTGGACAATGGTGCAGATACGCACGTGTCTAGACCAGGCAATCTGCCTGCTACTTACAGCACCTGCAGCCCCAATCCCTCAAGCACCTAGCAAGTGAATAATTCACTGGGGTGATACGGAGATGGGGAACTGGATAAGGGGGTTTCTGCACCTCAGATCCTTCGGTGCAGCTCTGAGGCCATGAGTGGCACCACTGCTCACACAGCAACTGCATCCACCTTGAGGTCACACGGATACCTGCTTGCCACCAAGTGCTGACTTTGCCTTCTGCAGGTGTGGGAAACCCGATTTTGTTTTATAACCAATGGCTTTCATTATCCCACTTACAGTTTTGTCCACATTAAATTGCTGTCTGCTACAAGTGTTAGCCATGTGGTTTGGTTCTAAGCATACAGCTTAGATCGTGCACCAGGCTCCTAGTCTCTAGCTGTTCTACTCCACTGCGTCCAGGGTGTGGAAGTTGAACTAATGCACCTGTGGTCTCATACTGGCATAGTGTCAAGAGCACTCCCATGTCCACTGGTTCTGCTATAGTTATAATTGTGTGATACACACCCAGCACAGAGAAATACAATGCTGCAGGCATAGTTAGGCAGTCTCAAAATTGCACCTATTAAGGGTGAGTCTGAACAGGAAACTGAAGAGTACAACCACTTCCAGAAAGAAAACCTGCCCCTTTTCTTGAAATGTCATTCTTTTCAAAGCATGGAAAGAATGAGGGTTAAACAGAGATGTCTCTTTAATGACACGTCAAATGATCTTGAGCAACACCAAGAAACTGCCTGCATGTTTGAGCATTACTCTGAATGTTTGGTAAGAACAGTTTATAGAAGGTCTTTCCAGGCATTTGCACAAACAGAGCTCCATTAAACTGCATACCAAACTGAAGCCTCCATTTGCTGAGCAAAAAAATGGGAATTTAGAGGCATCCAAGGAGCTGTGATGGGTTGGAGAGAGAACAACAAAAAAAGAAAGGATGAGGAGGTATTTTTTCCTCACTTTCTATTGCTCCTGAACTACAAGCTCCTGTTGAAGGGTTGTAGGTTGTATCACTGTCACCCCATAAAAGGCTAGAGCTTAGAGACAGTCACAGTGCAAGCTGGAGATATGGAAATTTCCTGCTGAAAGTGCTCATGGAGTCAACCTGATCACAGAGTCTGATCTCAGATGTCTCACGTCATCTCTTGGATTTCCTTGAACTGACTTTTCCTTGAACTGATTCTCATCTGAACCTGAGCACATCAGCTGAAAAACCCCTTTCCTGTCTTGATGATGACATTTCTAGAGATGAAAAATCCAGTACACAACATTAAATAATATTTCCATTGGTTAATTCCCTCCACTATGAAAAATGTGTTTATTTTCCACAGACCACTCAGATCTGACTTTAATTTTAAGACACTGAGTTTTATCGTATTTTCATCAGCTATGCTATCATCATAGTTGTATTGTCCAGGGACACATTTTTAAGCCTAAGGCTCTGCCTTTGTGTTAAGGCTGAGTGCTTGAACTTCTTCAAAGGAAATACCTGCTTTACTGTAAAAGTTTTAGGTATTCTTTTTCTTACCTGATATCACAGTTCTACTGTAAAGTATTCCCTAGAAAGCTGAACAGAACTGATACACTTTTCTGCAATTACTATGCTTGTTTGCTGTACCAAAAGCTGTACCTACATCTGCCAAGGCTGCTGTGCATGCAAGTGTAACAGCATTCCCACTGGTCCCAGCTGAGGGCTTAGCCATGATCTGTAGCCATGGTGGTCCACAGATTACAAAAGGGTAGCTAGCATCTACCACCTTCTCTTCACTGCATTTGGTCATGGGTAGTGTTCACGTCAGGACCCGCAAACTCAGAAGTATTCTCCAAACCACCTCTCCTTTAAATGTAGCCACTGCACTTAGGGATCCAAGTGGAATCCAGGACACCATTGTGCTTCATGCTAAACACAGATGCTAACCATGGCCAGCGATAAACCAAGGAGACAAGAGATGTCAGCATTGTTAATATGGCAGGTGATGGTATCACTGCAGCAACCAGGACACAACATGAGCTGGACCTTTCTCCAGCTGTTTGGCAGATGACACAGTGGAGGAAAGCCTTACTGTGGGACACAGGATGAGGTAGAAGAGAAATGTGTGAATGTTATGGGAAGTTAATCCTGTGCACACAGGAAGTGAGGTGTTGAGGAAAATGTGTTTCAAGCTTCAGTGTCATAGTAATGCGGTTAGGTACAGAGGTGTGACCACAGGCAGGGTACGTGCTCTGAGCTGTAGGTCAGCATGTTCTCAGCCTCAGGACCCTGGAGGCTGCTGTACCGCAACTCTAGCATATGCAGTGTTTACCCCCTTGGTACAGACATGTGTCATCAGCTCTGGAGGTCTCTGCATAGTCCCGGGTAAGATGTTTGCTGTAGCTGTTATACATCTTCAGACCTGGCTTCCAACATCTTCCTAAGGAGAAGTCAGTTTCACAAATATTTCCAAGTAGTAGCAGTGTTTGGTCAGGGCATGTTTCATTTCAGGAATGGGATATGTTTTTCGAGATGATAAAACTTCCAAAACCTGGAAAACACTTAAAATGTCTGTAGTTGTGAATCTGCCCTTGTCTTTGCATCCAAATACAGGTGGTTTTCCTGTTGGCAATGCTTTGTGTATTGTCATTGAAGTAATGGATAAAAATTGGTTTTCTTCATGATTCCACCTTAAGTTTCAAATATGACAAAACCAGTAATAAAATAATCACAAACCTAATTCACAAGGCTAAAAAGTAGAGTTAGTGCTCTCCAGATCTAAGAAGAAGAAACAATTAGAATGCTTCTGCTAGTCATCTGTTGAAATTTTCTTGTGAATTGCTACACAGTTGCTTGTTTTCTTTTAAATAAGCAAACAACCAAAGAACAGACTACTTCCCTAAATTAGTTTATCGGTGTTTGTTTGTCTTTCTCCATAGAAATTCAGGCCTTGTCCAGACTTGGAGTCTGTAACAATGACTGGCACGGTATTGTGAGAATTGAGAAAGATGAATACAGCCGAGGAACAGATATACTGTCAAGACTTTCATTGGGTTGAACTACATTGCCTTGGTTTCATTTGTCTTTTCCATAAATATGAAAGCCAATCTGCATTAGAACTGTAAACATGATGATGTAAGTAGTTTTTTTCCATAAATATGTCATATTAAAATGTAAGGCTTAAACTGCCTTGTACACTGCATGCACAAAAACCCCATCTCCAGCAAGGGAAGTATCTACAACTCCTTATCTTTTCATGTGCTCCTAGGTAACTAAAAAGAAAGGATGATAAAGATCTAATATTTTGTTTAAAACACTAGAATTAAAACTACTTTGTTCTGGTGTCTTTTCTCCCACCCCCAATTACACAATTTACTTCTGATCAGATTAAACCTTTCATTCATTAAGTATGTGATGTTCTGTTTTCAGTTCTCATTTTAGGCAAAACTGAGGAGGGAAAAAAGCGTAGAAATGAAGAAGCAGATCTTTCAGTAGAACATTTTGAAATGTAAGTCTCAACTTTTATCCCCTACTTTTTCTTTTTTTCCAGCTGAAGCAGTGATCAGTCTGGCACAAGAGCGAATCATCTCAACTGGCTTGTACAATACATTTTTTGGCAGATGAAAATAATCAGCTAAGGAAGGTCTTCAGCTCAAAAAGCATCTTCCCTGAGAGAGCTAGCAGGGAGTGGCTGCGTTTAAAACCACCTAAACTTCATAGCCTGCTACTGCAGGTAAGAAGCCAGAGAAAGTAAACTGAGAACAATTAAAAAACTCGAAATGTTGTAAGCGACTTCTACTTGTGGTGTGGTTGCATCTCTAGCAATGTTTTCCATATGCTGACACACATGGTTGCTCAAGAGCTCAGCACTTGTTCCTGACGTGCAGGCCTGCAGAGCCAAAATAGTAGGGACATTTACAATACAATGATGTAACTTTCTCCCACATTTTGTAAATGTGGTTGCGTGTTGCAACCTTCCTTGGTTTTTAATAGTAAAGAGGCAATGTTTAGCTCACAGTCTGTGCTGCAACATGAAAACTCTTTTCCTAGCAGCTCAGCCGGGGTTTTGTAACTTGGTGGAGAACTCTGTGTTCATATAGTTATCATCCATGACTTAATCTGGATACAACTTTCTGTTCCTCTATTTTTGCAAACAGAGCTGACCAGCACTGCTCTTCTACAGTGGATGATGGCTTCATACCCAAACCTGACAACAAAGGAATCCACCACTTCCCCATAGCACTGGGGGTTGTTGCACTCATGGCCAAAATCTTGTGTGTCCCACAGAGACAGAACAGGGCAAAGTATCCACAATGACACCAAACAGGGCAAAGTATCCACAATGACACCTTATATATATATCTCCCTGCTGCCCCTGCGGTCCTATTCCAGGGACAAGAGGAAAGATGGAGCTATTTCAACTTTGGACTTGTCTACATGGGAAAATTAATCAGAAGACCAATACTGCGGTAGTCCCCTGTGTCTTCCTCTAGCTTGGTTTATCCCCGTCTGGAGCAGAATTACTCCAAATCCCACTTGACATTCAAGTCATCTTTTATGAGATAACTGTTCTCCCTCCTGCAAGGAGACCCACGCACAGTCCTCAGGGAGCTCTGGGAGCACTGAGCAGCTGAAGGCAATGCCTCTCCCCTCTCCTCCCTTCCTGCCCCTTGGGCTGGCTTGCAGGGATGAGCAGGAATTGCTTGGAGCTGGGCAAGGAGACGAGGGGACATTGATGGAGGGAATGATAATAGGTTCTGGGTGTTTCCTGGGTTGTGCTGCTGAAGCTGCTCTGATTTATAGCCAGGCCAAAGAGGCCTCTTCTAAGGAGCTCTCATATTTCTCTTACCACCCACACACAGGAACAAAGAACAGTAAGGATCTTGACCCACTTTCCACTCACATTCCCGGCCCCATCCCATTTGTCTGGAAGTGGGCAAAAAAAGCACTGTGGGAAAAGAGAAGTCAAGTGGTGGCAGCCAGGGCAGGGGAAGTCTTTGCTGGGCTGTAGTGAGAAGGCAGAAGCCATGTTCCCCCTTTTCCCTGCCTTGTTTTAGTGCTTGCAGATCTCTGGCTGGCTGGCTGGGTGAAAGAGCCTGTGCTAGCCTGGTGACTTAAAACCAAAGCAAAACAAGGGCCTCTGTGAGCAACTGGAGAACCAGCTCTCCTATGTGGACTCCTTCACTAGACCTCTCCTGATCTGCAGATGCAGCTCCTGACCAGGAGCCCCACAGCTGAAGCAGCACCTCGGTACCTGGCACGGTTCCCCACCATCATGTCAGATCTCAGGCCTCAGGTTAGGGCAGGACACTCTATAAGGTGTTTGTTTCAACGTTTCCAACCCACTGTGGAGGTGTCAAGGCACAAATTTTACGGACTCCCTGTCTCAGTGTGGCAAACTTTCCTTATGCAGCTGGGTGAAAGCAATGTCAGGAGTTGGCTGGCCACTGTCAGTACCTGTTCTTGTTGCTGTGCCATAACCCTGGGATGAGTTGGGCCTTTATGAGCAAAGGACCAAAATGTAAGGTAAGTGAGGCTGGCTGGGACCTCTGGTGCAACATTCTGCTTAAAGCAGGGCCAGTTCAGGGGTTACATTAGATCAATAAGGAGGCAAACCTGCTGATGGTAATGAAGCATTGCTATAGAGTTACACACTGCAGGTACTTTGTGACACCACGGGGTGAAAGAGGAGGTAAAACCCAAACTGAACAAACCCTAGAGGGTTTGGGTTGTGTGCATGACATAAATGGCTCTCACTGGTCCCCTGTAGATCCATTAGTGAGAAGTAAATCCCTGCAGTGAAGAAACAGTAAAAATGCAGCTGCAGCGGCCAGTTCCTTATCTGAGCCATGCTGAAACTCTATTTCTGGAGAGCCTTATGGGAAGAGCTGGGAGACCTTCCGCCTAGCACCACCTCTACTGCTGCAGAGGAGACTTGCAAGAGCAGCAGAACCTCAGCAAATTCTCATTTCAGCTGGATCCTCTGCACATCCGCCTCAAGCGGAGGGAAAGGCAGGGACAGTAATTGGCATGGAGCAGCAGCTTGGTTGTGCAAATGACGGAGAATACTGTGGGAGATATTAACGGGCGGCTGTTAAGGCATTACTAATAATTTTCAGAATCATTTCTATTCCTATTCTTCCCCTGACAGCCTGAAACTGCTGTGGGTCCTTTCAAAGCCGTTCTGCCTGCTAATAGTTTATTGCTTTATTTGATAGGCTGCTTAGGGGTAGCTAGGCAGCTTGTGTGTTTTAGTCCCCCCTCCCTTCAAATAGTGAGAACACTTTAATATTTCTTGGAGAAAAATGGGTGTAATAAAATATGAATATCTTGGGCCCAATCACGCTGCAGTGGAAAGCTTTGCCCTGCGAGGCTGTTTTGCTCTGGCTCTTCTGGTTGCTGTGCTCTGCAGAGCTGGCAGCACCATCAGTGCTCTGGTAAACATCATACTTCAAATAGTGGAAGGGTTCACTCAGTTAGGAAGGGTGGATGGAGCATATATGGACCTCTGTGGTCTCCACTGAGGGAGTTTTCTTTTTTGAATGAGTCGTTGCACATGGCTGACCTGGGTAAAGTCACACCATTATGGACAGAATTGCCCAAGCTCTGGGGTTACCACTAACAAGGGTCATTTTGGACTGCGTCTTCAAGGCTTGGTAAACATACAGGTGATAGCAACACCAGCACTGAGAACTAGCTGTACTGACCTGCTGGGGAAGTGTGGTGATTGAGACTTAGCAGCAGACACCATCAGACCCAACAGCATTTCTCTGAGTATGGGAAAGGTCTGCACAAGGCTTCTCCAAGGGAAATGACAAATCCCCTATTCCTGAGCTGTTTAAGGCTGAAGTGGGCAGAGAAATGGGGAGCACTGCGCAGGGACTGGCCTCACTGCTCGTCACTGGCAGGAATCTCCTTTCCTTGCAAGCATAAGTCATGGGACTGGGACTCAATCACAGCACTGGGATCTAGCTGGGGATTTTAGAGATTGCTTAAAAATGTGTAATGAAAATTGTTCATGTGTATGAAAGGGAGAAGGAAGAATGTGTGAATTCTGGAAGGTGCTGCCTGTGGAAAAGATGTATCCCGAGCTTTTAGATCCTGGCAAAGCCCCTTTAAGAGAGATTGGAATTTTCCATGCATAAACAACAATGCCTATATTTGTTTAAAAGGAAAAAAAAAAAAAAAAAAAGAAGTTGGGAAGCCAGCAGAGCAGACGTAGAGTCCTGATGAGGAAGAAAAGGAGCGTTGTGCCCAGGACATTGGGGAAACTGTTCAAAGCCAGTTCATCTTTACGCAGAAACTGTCCCTTGCTGGCTCACCAGCGGCAGCAGTCAATTGAGCTATGGGGCAGGCAGCCCGTGGGGCAGGAGATTTGGGACCCAGTCCTGACTTCAGCAAGGGACCTGGGTTCTTGGCATCTCCCAGGGGCTGGCACTCAAGATGGGGAAAAACAAACAAACAGGTCTGTTCAAAGGCATATAGGAGGAATTATATTTCTTTTGGAAGAGCTCATCTTCCTCCGTAGGGCAAAAAGCACGCTGTGAGAGAACGAAAACTCCCTGCAAATGGGAGGAAGCTAAATGGAAGAACTGCATCTGCTAGGCTGCTCTCTGCCTTCTGTCAGGGTAAAAAAAATAATAGAAAAGAAATAGGAAAAATGATAAGATTGATTCGAGATTCATCCAACCAAAGAGATGCAGCATAAGTGGGAACAGGTCTCTTTAGTCTGATAATCAAGCATCCAGCTGAAGGAGAGGGGGAATTCTGGTCTCTGTACCTGAGATTGGGTTTTAAACTGCCTCTATTTAACGGAAAACACTTTCCTTCTTTTCTGCACTACACTAACAGGGCCAAAGTGGGAGATGGGAACTGGAAACTCTCCCATGGCAGCGCAATCCCACCCCCGACCTTGCCATGGAGGTGAGCAAGTTACAGGTACATGAAGTAGGGTGGAAGCTGTTGCTCCATCATTATCCCCCCTGGCCATGCTCAAGAGGGTGAGCCCATACCCAGGTTTCCAGAAAGGAAGGGTATGGCTCAGCCTTCGAGAGGGACTGCAGTTTTTAGCCCCTGTGTGTGTTGCCTTTAGCTTCATGTGCACATACCTGGGATGCGGATGGGAAATAGGGTTAACCAGCGCCAGTACAGAGTGGTGATGGCCTGGAGTGGGTTTACCACTCAGTGTCATGGCCTCCTCTGTTTCCAAACTACAACTCATCTTACCCACCTCCCACTGAGCTCTGGATTTCCCTGTGTGGCCCAAACACTGAATGTTAAGTAATGCATGGATAAACCTGTTTTCTATTGTGGTTGTGTTCACAGTGGAAGAAAATGATGAACAAATAGGTTTTTGATATATAGGCTTCAAGGGGATTCAGGTCTTCTGAATCAGGTCTTCTCCATTTCCTCTCTCATTTTGTTCATGATGCAGAATATTATGGTGAAATTTCTATATAGGAGTTTGGGCCATTTTGCTAATTATCTAGAGAGCATCTTTCAAAGAACATACCCTTTTGCATGTGCAGAGATTTCATTATACTCGTTATACTTGCTGTTCACTGTGTTTTGTTAAGCTTCCTTACTTTGTTGTAAATGCCAAGAGAAGTAGAGGCAGAAAGGAGAAAAGTGGCAAGATCTGATGATGTTTCTTCCTGAAACCGCAGAATTATCTAAAAACTCTCCTATTCATAACTGAGACTTATCACTTGAAAATCTTGGTTTGCACAGAGCAAATTATGCTGTCACTGGCCAACCTAGTTCATTTATTTTTAATAACTTCCCTTATTGTGTGGTTCCAGACTGCACATCACATGGCACACATTGCAAATGAGATACTGGAGGTCTTCCTCAAAGATCGTGCACCCTGGCCTGGATTTTTAATCCTTCTTGCTTACAGGGATGCCTTTTATTCCCTCTGTAGTGTTTTGA